AACCAAGAAATTGATCAGTTTTGTAGCCTTTGTCAGAATATTTGTTAGCTGCTTCTGGGTGCTACAGTGCACAACTTCTAAAATTCCACTTTGAACTTGATTCCTCGGAAAATGATACTTGGTCTCAATATGTTTGCTTCTCCCATGCAACATTGGATTCTTGGTAAGATTGATTACAGACTTGTTATCAATCATCAGCTTCAGAGGTTTATTTACGTCAATCTTCAGATCTTTCAGCAAGTTCAGAATCCACACAACTTGACATGCAGTCAGAGCACCTGCAATATATTCAGCTTCACAAGTTGACAGTGCAACAACAAATTGTTTCTTGGAACACCAAGAAATAGGACCTCCCAGAAATTTGAATATGTACCCAGAAATACTTCTTTTGTCAACTCTATCTCCGCACCAATCAGAATCAGAATAACTCATAAGTTCTGATTCGATCTTTCTTCCAGACGAAAATAATACTCCATATTTCCGAGTTCCCTTCACATACCTCGGAATCCTGACTACAGCTTGGTAATGAGACCACTTTGGTTTGCTCATAAATCTGCTAACCATTCCAACTGCATAGAAAATATCAGGTCTGGTATTACACAAATACCTTAGAGAACCAACCATCTGTTTGAAGGTTATAGCATCCACATCCTCTCCATCACAATCAGAGTCCAACTTCTGATTCGTATCAGTAGGTGTGATAACAACCTTGCAATTTTCTAGCTCAAATCTCTTTAGAAGCTCTAGTTCATACTTCATCTGATGCAAAATGATTCCTCTCTCAGAGTACATAAATTTCATCCCTAGAAAGAAACTCATTTTTCCAAGATCTGTCATCTCAAATGCATTCATCAGAACTTTCTTGAACTCAGCTATCTCTTGTTCAGAACTTCCTGTGAGTAATATGTCATCAACATACAAACAGACCAGAATCATATTACCTTCTGAAGTGTGCTGAACATAATGACCATACTCCATCTCACACTTCTAAAACCCTTGTTCCTTGAAAATGAATCAATCTTCAAGTTCCAAGCTCTAGGTACTTGCTTCAATCCATACAAGGCTTTGTGTAATTTGAACACCATCCCTTTCTGATTCTTTTTCTCAAATCCAGGAGGTTGTGATACATATACCTCTTCTTGTAATGGCCCATTCAGAAATGCAGATTTTACATCTAAGTGCATCAGAGGCCAGTTCCTGTTAGCAGTTATTGCAATCACTAGTCTGATTGTTTCATGTCTCGCTACAGATACAAACACTTCAAAGTAATCCAGCTCAGGCTTCTGTAGAAATCCTCTTGCTACTAATCTTGCTTTGCGTTTTCCAATTGATCCATCTGACTTTAACTTCTACTTGAAAACCAATCTAATGTTGATGGCTTTCTTGCCTTTTTGGAAGTTCTGTCAGCTTCCAAGTCTTGTTTCTCTCTATAGCATCAACTTCTTCTTTCATGGCTTGTAACCAAACTTGCTTCTTAAGAGCCTCTTCCGTACTCACGGGTTCAGAGTCTACTAACATTTCACACTGAATAACTTCTCCTTCAGAGTTTACTTCAGTGTCTTGTAACATGCCAAACTCTGCAAATCTTCTTGGGATGCTTCTGACTCTTTGTTGCCTCTAAACTGGACCTTCAGAACTTTGGACACCAAAACTTTCCCCTTCAGAAGCACTTGCTTCATAATTTGGACTTTCTCCAGAATCTTGACTGTCTTTAGAGTCTGGATCACCATCGGAGTCAGAGTCAGAATCATCTTCTCCTTCTGTATCTTCTTCAGAGTCAGAGTCTTTACCAGCTTCAGAAACATGTATTTCTGACTTTTCTTCATAAGTTCTTTCATCAGAGTCAGGATGAGACTTTTCCCAATTCCAAACTTTTGATTCCTCTATAATGACGTCTATGTTGAACTCAACTTTGTTAGTTTCTGGACAATAAAGTTTGCACGAACCTGTACTGTGGTACCCCACCAGCAACATCACTTTACTTCTATCATCCAACTTCTGTCTTCTGGCTTCTGGGACATGTTTATAACATACAGAACCAAACATCTTCAGATGACTAACACTTTGCTTATCTCCAGCCCACTTCTGAATAAGAACTATTTCCTTCAATTTCTTTGTTGGACATTTGTTAAGCACATAACATGCAGTTGCAACAGCTTCTTCCCATAGAGTATGAGGAAGATTCTTCTCTTTCAGCATGCTTCTCACTATATCAAACAAAGTACGGTTTCTTCTTTCAGCAATACCATTGTGTTAAGGAGTATAAGGAGCAGTAACCTCATGCTCAATTTCATTCTCCTCATATAAACTTCTGAATTTTGTGGAGTTATACTCACCACCACCATAAGTTCTAAGAATCTTTAGAGTCTGGCCACTCTGATTCTCAGCCTTCAGTCTGAACTTCTTGAATTCAGCAAACACCTCGTGTTTGAACTTTATGAGAGATACCCATGTCATTCTGGTGAACTCATCAACAAATGACACAAAATATTTATTCCTTCCAGTTGATGCTACTGGAAAAGGACCGCACACATTAGAATGCACTACTCCCAAGGCATGTTTTGCTCTCGGAACTACTTCTGATGAAAATGGTAATCTTGGTTGCTTCCCTTCCATGCACACCTTGCATGAATTTTCAGGATTCTTGATTGTAGAAATTCCATGTACCAGATTCTTTGATTTCAGATGTCCTAAACTTCTGAAATTCAGATGACCAAATCTTATGTGCCACGACTCACTCTCCTTGACAACACTTGTTTCACTAAGACATTCAGAGTCTGTAGTTCTAACATTCACTTTGAATGTTCTGTTCCTTCCCTGTTCTGACTCCATAATCAGCTTCTGATTACAATTATACAGCTTCAGAAGATTGTCCTTCATGGTAACTGAAACACTTTTCTCGACTAGTTGTCTCACACTCATCATATTGCTTTTCATGCTAGGTACATATCAAACATTCTGGATCACTGTTGCTTTCCCATTGTTTAGAATGATTCTGACATTTCCCATACCTTCTACATTGAGGTATTTATCATCAGCACATCTGATATTTGCACTCTTCCTAGAGTCAAAATCAACCAACCACTTCTTGTTTCCAGTAAGATGATTTGAACACCCTATGTCAATATACCATAATTCTGATGAATTCAGATCACCAGGTTCAGAAGCCAACAATAGTAGAGGTTCATCATCAAACTCTCCTCTTGCTATATTTTCTTCTTCTGACTTCCTTTCTTTGTTGGACCAACAATCTCTGGCATAGTGACCAAAGTTCTTGCAACAGTAACACTAAATATTCTTCTTGTTAGACTTCTCCTTTCCCTTCTGGACATTCTTCTTCCTATCAGAGTTTGAAGCTTCTGACCTTTTCCCACCATTAGTTTTCTTCCCGGCTTCTGACCAAGTCTGCTTCTGATGCTTCTTACCAGAAGTTACTTTCAGAGCCTGCTGCTCTACTTCCCTCTCAGAAGTTCTTGCAGTCATACCCAACTCATGCGCCTCTAGACTACTTTGCAGCTCTTCAACTCTCATGGTGCTCAGATCTTTGGAATGTTCAATTGCTACCACAATGTAATCAAACAGAGAAATTAAAGATCTCAAGATCTTCTCAATGATTACTTATTCAGAAAGAGTTTCTCCACAAGCTTTCATCTCATTAGTGATCAGAATCACTCTAGAGATGTACTCAGAAACCTTCTCGTTGTCCTTCATGTTGAGATTCTCATATTGCTTTCTGAGAGACTGGAGATTCACCTTCTTCACTGATGCGTCACCACTGTAACATCTGACCAGTGTGTCCCATGCAGCCTTTGCTGTTTCAGAATCAACAATCTTCTCAAATACATTGCATCCACACATTGATGGATGTAGAACAATGCCTTCTGATCTTTCTTTCTTAGCGCCCTATGTGTTATCAGATCATAGTCATCGGTGACAAGATCTAACACATCTTGAGAACCAAATAACACGCGCATTTGGATCTTCCAATGATTCCAGTTTTTGCCATCAAATACTGGAAGCTTGGAATGAATATCGTCGTCGTTCCCGTTCATCTTCTACGTTGTGCAATTTACGCAAAAACTCAATGAAAATAATATTTCCCAAATTTCAGAGTTTCTAACCAGGAGCTCTGATACCAATTATTGGTGCACAAGGAAGATAAAAGGCAAAAAGAATATTTACTGACAGCTTCAAAATAAGGAATTTCAATGAATTACAATAACCTACTTTACTAGGCTATTTATATGCAAAATTAAATCTAAAAATATCTTCTAACAAAGATATAAGAAGATCTAAGATATATATCTTCTAACAAAGATATAAACAATCTAAAATATATTTTTAAATATAAATTAATATCTAATTAATTATAAAATCTAAATTGATTCTAACACATGTCGACATCCATGCCACCCAAATTAGTAGTATAAATAGATCTTGCTTAATTTATTACTATATTTTTTCACACTTTTTAATTATTTAACCACTTCACTAAATTTTTCAAATATCCATATCATTCATTTAAAATTCTAAATTAAATATCACTAGTCTTACTATATACTCAAATTTTTTAAATTTTTATATACAAAATATGCAAAAGTATTAGTTTTATAAAGGAAATAATTTCAAACAAGGATAATTTTTTGTGGTATTGGTGGCTTCGAAATTTAGTCCAATTTTATTTAAATAATAATATTTTCTGACTCATTGTGACTTAGTAGTATATTGTAAAGAGAGTTACTAAACTAAAAAAGTAATTGAAAAAAAATTTAAATAACATATTGTTTAATAAAGTAAAAGAACTTTCTGTCAAAAAAAAAAGTAAAAGTAAAAGAACCATTATCCCAATAATATCCTTAGTTTTTATTATATGTCAGTATTTAAAGTGGTGGCAAAATGAAAATTTGCTTTGAATGAGTGGATTTGAGAGAGTAAAGTAAATAATTTGTTGCTTGGCTTGACTTGACTTGACTTGTGCAGTGGCATCTATTCAAGTTACAATGGCAGATCAAGTATCATCTTCCTCTTTCTTCACGTACGATGTATTCTTCAGCTTCAATCCCTTAGATACTAGCAATGGTTTCGCTGCAAATGTCTCACAAGCTTTCCAAAGAAGGGGAATTAAGGCATTTATTGAAAGCAGAGACGAAATAACACCGGTTATTTTTAATGCAATTGTAAAATCCAGATCTTCCGTTATTAGAAAAATTATAATAGAAAAATTATTACCAAACATATCTTTTATTGTTATATGATTTATAAACTATAAACTCAAAAAAAGTATCTTATCGAACAATTTATATCTTTAATGTCAAGTGTCACTACCATATGGATTACATCTTCAACAATTTGAATGTATATAGAATCAGAAAAAATGGGATATATATACTCTTAATAAATTAGTATCGTGTATCCCGCCACATTAAATTATAATTGTAAAACTATTTTATAGAGTATATCCATTAAACTTATATAATTAAGGTTGCTTTTACAAAATTGTTGTATAGTAGAATATTTATAGTCTTTACCTTGAAAAATGATATTCCCTCTCGTTATAAGAAAAAAAAATCCTTAATTTTGATCACTAGTAAAAGTCAATAGTTTTTTAAATATTAATCTTTTTATTAGTAGAATATTTTTAATTTAATTTAAAAATATTTAATGTTGATAATTGATTAATCAAATATAATTAAAATTTTATTTTGATTGTATATAAAATTTTAAAAAATTAATTATATTTAACTAAATTTTTTAATCAGAGTGAAATTAATTATCTTTTCTGTGATCAAGAAAATAATTATGCTATAAATAAGGATAAATATATAAGAATAAATATATAAGGTCATTTTGGTGCAAATATACCTTTTATTTTTTAATTTGCATGTAAATTTTTTTAAAATATTGAACGAGGAAGTAATTTTTAAACAAGAAATTGATATATTTGTTGTGTTTGTATACAAAAAATATTATATATGATTTGGTATAACACTTTTTAAACTTATAGTCTATAGTTTATAAACTCATATCATAATTTAGATTTATTTGATAACAGTTTTTTCATCACAAATATATTATTTATTTTTCTGACGTTATTTTAAATAACGTTTTAATTTATAGTTTATAATTTAACATTTTTTTTATTATTATTCTGACAAAAACTCATTTTTATCGCTTATAATTTATTTAAATTTAAAACAAAATAATTATGTATTAAATATCATTTATATTATTTGACATTTATAAATTAGATGAACAACTAATTTTATTAAACACTTCAATTAATTTACTATCAATTTCATTCATTAGTTATAAATTATAAGCTATCAGTCATGATAATCTATAAACTAACTTATCAAACCACTATTTTTATCAAACATATCCTATGTGTCAAAACCATTGTTTTTCTCTTTGAAATCACTTATTTCACCCTTTAAATTACATGCGAAATCTAAAAACATGGATGTGAGACTAACTTGTTTCCTTGATTAGAGTTGAATGTGATGAATCTGGTTTTATTACAAAGATTGTCAAAGAGGTCTCTAGAAAGCATTATTATGCTCCTTTGGCCAATGAAGATCATCTAGTAGAATTGGACGATCCTTTGGAAGAACTGTGCTCCCTCATGGATATGAAATCTGACAGTGTCCTCAAGATAGGGATATTTGGAATGACTTGTGTTGGTAAAACAACACTCGCTCGAGCAGTTTATAATAGAATCGCACACCAATTTGAAGGTGATTGTTTTCTTGACGTGAAAGGAAGCGGACTGGTGTGCCTCCAAAATAGGCTTCTTTTCGATATAGTTGGAGAAGATATTCAGATAGAAAGTGCTGATAGAGGGCTACTCAAAACACTTGTCATAAAAAAATGTCATTTTTCCAATGCTCCCAAACATCTTCCATCTAGTTTAAGAGTGTTGCAATGGTGGAATTATCCTTCACAAAAGTTACCATGCGATTTTGATTCAAAACAGCTTGTCATATTATGGATGTCACAAGACAAGGGCGTCGCACTAGCCCTGCTGACTGAGTTATTCATGACGTATCAAATTATTTGCAAGGTGAGAGTCGAGACTCGAATGGTGATGTTGAGTACTATGTTATTCTCCTTTTATTATTTTCCCATTCAAAAGCTTTTGAACCTAACCAGATTGACTGACATTTCTAAAGCTTTGCAGACTTGTAAGAGGGCTGCTCGAGTTACGTTGCAGGCTTCTGTGAGGGTTTTGCACGCGGAGGTGACTTGGAGACTAGTTGGCCTTGTGTCAAGTGTAGTTGGCCTATTATGTTATGCTTTGAGCCCTTCTTTAAATCAATTAATTGGTGGCTGGAACTCTTTCAAGATTGTTCTTTACGCCATGTTTTCTTTGATTATCGGTGCCACCATATTATTTGGAAAGAAGTCTTCTCTTTCTGTACAATATGTTCAATACAAAACCTACATGAAATTTGCAGTTTTAATGATCGTCTCAGTGTACTCATTCTATTATGACAATGCTGTGGCTGGGAAACCTGAATTACTGAGTGTGGTTTCGAATGCTGCGTTAGCTTTGATGTCATTAAGCTTGTCAAGACTGGTTAAGTTGGGATTTGAGATTGGTATATTTTCTTATTTCCTAGGCTGTCTTGTGATTCAATTATGGACCATCGATGGGAAGCTGATTTTGGTAGCCATAATCTTCGGTTGTCCACTCTTTATTATGCAATCCTCTTTGGATTCTGAACCAGAAGTCTGCAATGGAACTCAAGTTATTAATTCAGACTCCCAAACAGTGCTAACTAATGGAGGCCAAGATATTCATCCAAATTCCCAAACAGTGCTAACTAATGGAGGCCAAGATATTCATTCCTCTTCAGATGTCACACCATAGGTTGATAATGGTGGTGAACATTGTTAGAAGTAATTCAAAATTTAGCATAGTAATTAGCATTTGCATTTAAGTTACATTTAGATTTAATTTGAGTTTCATTTTAGTTGATTCTAATGGTATAAATACTGAATTCAAGTTTCAGGTTGTAACCCTTTTTAGTTGGAAGAGAAAGTTAGTTATAGATTTTCAAGTTTTTCTCTCTTCTCTCTTCTTTCATCATCTTCATCTTTTCCATTTTTGTGCTCCAACAATTAGTATCTAGATCTCTGGTTCGATTCACAGGGAAACATGAGTGTACATGAGGTGTGTGTGATTGATTTCGTTTCTTGAATTCACGTTGAATTTACGATCGAAATCGGAACAAAATCACATTTCTTGATTCAGCGGGATTGGGAAACACGAGTGTTGATGAGATCAGAGTGAATTTTCACAAGAACGGAGATAATAGGCAGAAACAGTAGCTTGAACACAAAGCGTCCAATATTTAATGGAAAGAACGGAATTAGCGGATGACTTAGATGTGTGTGTTGTTTGGCGCTCAAGATGTTCTTGATCTCGTCAACGAAGGTTACATGTCAGTTGTAGCAGATGCAACTGAAACGCAAAGAAACGCGTAAGAGAAACGAAGAAGAAGGATCAAAATGCATTGTTATATACCCATCAGTGTGTGGATACAAATGTGTTTGAGAAGATTGTTGATTCAACGACGGTGAAGGATGCATGGGACACACTGGTACAGTGCTACAACGACGATGCATCAGTGAAGAAGGTGAAGCTTTAGAGTCTATGTAAGCAGTATGAGGATCTCAACATAAAGAACAACGAGAAAGTACCATATTACATCTCCAGAGTGTTTGTGGTCACCAATAAGATGAAGGCTTACAGAGAAACGCTATCTGAATAAGTTATTATTGAAAAGATACTCAGATCCCTTACAGCTCAGTTTGATTACATTGTTGTAGCGATTTAAAATTTTAAGAGCCTGAGAACCATGAAAATTGAAGAGTTGCAAAGTAGTCTAGAGGCACAAGAGTTGCGTCTGACTGAGAGAAACTCTGAAAAAGTGGTAGAGCGGGCTCTGAAAGTGTCTTCTGGTAAGAAGTATCAGAAGCAGTCTTGGTCAGAGGCCAAGAAGAGACACAATGGTTCTCAGAAGTCAAAAGCTTGCAACTCTGATGAAAAGAAACATCAAAAGAGAAAAGAGAAGTTTGACAAAAAGAAGGTACAATACTACTGTTGTAAGAAGTTTGGCCACTTTGCTACTGACTGTTGGTCAAACAAAGAAAGTAAGTCAGAAGAAGTAAACATAGCCAGAGGAGATTATGGTGATAAACATGTGGTATTGATTGATTCTGAATTTGATGGAGGATATTTAGTAGACTGGTTGTATATGGACAATGGCTGCTCAAATCACCTACCTGGATACAAACAATGGCTGGTTGATTTTGACTCTAGAAAGAGGACAAAGATCATATATGTTGATGATAAGTATCTTAATGTTGAAGGAATAAGAGATGTCAAAGTCAGAATGAAGAATTGCAAAACTTTTCTGATCAAGGATGTTTGGTATGTTCATAACATGAAGAGAAATCTGATGAGGGTGGGTCAGCTCATTGAGAAAGGTATCTCAATGACTATGAAGAATAATCTCTTGAAGTTGTATGATTCTAATCAGGAGTTGATTATGCAATCTTAACATGGAAGCAACAGAACATTCAAGGTGAATGTGGAGACAGCTGAAAATAAATGCCTTAATGTAGAAGATGCTAAAGGTGACAGTGAGTTGTGGCACAAGAGATTGGGGCATATGAACTTCAAAAGCTTAGGGAACCTGAGTTCTAAGAAGCTAGTGGGAGTACAACTTCACCATTAAATTCTTTGCATGATTTCAAAACTAGAAAAAATTAGCATTTCTGTGTATTAGACGATATCTCTATGTCATGTGTCACTCCTTTGCATTTCTGATCGAAACATTTACTGTTGACACATTTATGTGTCGACACATAAAAATTCCAGATCGACACATTTACTGTTGTTTTATAGCATGTAGCTACAAACTTGTTTCGGTCGAAACATTCATTTTTTCAGGTCGACACATACAGCTGAAACTTGACGTATGTGTCGACACATACGATTTATAGGCCAACACATATTGTTTTTAAGGTCAATTTTTCAGTTCTTTTTAACTCCGAAAATATCCTTTTTGCACCTAAACTTCCACAAGTATAAATACACCATTCATGCATCATGATTCTAATCAGAAGCTGATTAAGCAATCTGAACAGAGAAGCAATAGAACATTCAAAGTGAATGTGGAGACAGTTGAAACTAAATGCCTTAATGCAAAAGGTGCTAAAGGGGACAGTGAGTTGTGGCACAATATATTAGGGCATATGAACTTCAGAAGGGAACCCGAGTTCTAAGAAGCTAGTGTGAGTATAACTTCACCATTAGATGTTTTGCATGATTTCAAAATTAGGAAAAGTTAGCATTTATGTATATTAGACGGTATATCTATGTCTTGTGGCACTCCTTTGAATTTTTTATCGACACATTTATTGTTGACACATTTATGTGTAAACACATACAAATTTCAATTCGACACATTTATTGTTGTTTTAAAGCATGTAGCTACAGACTTGTTTGGGTCGACACATTCATTTTTTTAGGTCGACACATACAGCTGAATTTGACGTATGTGTCGACATATACGATTTATAGGTCGACACATATTGTTTTTTTAGGTCAATTTTTCAATTCTTTTTAACTCTAAAAATCTTATTTTTTCACCTAAACTTCCACAACTATAAATACATCATTCATACATAATGATTCTAATTAGAAGTTGATTATGCAATCTGAACAGTGAAGCATTAGAACATTCAAGGTGAATGTGGAGGCCGCTGAAACTAAATGCCTTAATGCAGAAGGTGATAAATGTGACAGTGAGTTATGCCATAAGAGATTGGGGCATATATACTTCAGAAGCTTAGGACAACTGAGTTCTAAGAAGCTAGTGTGAGTACAACTTAACCATTAGATATTTTGCATGATTTCAAAACTAGGAAAAATTAACATTTATGTATATTAACAATATTTCTATGTATTGTGGAACTCTTTTGCATTTCTAATCGACACATTTATGTGTCGACACATACAAATTTCAGGTCGACACATTACTATTATTTTAAAGCATGTAGCTACTGACTTGTTTCGCTCGACACATTCATTTTTTCAGATCGACACACACAGCTGAAACTTGACGTATGTGTCAACACATACGATTTATAGGTTGACACAAATTGTTTTTTTAGGTCAATTTTTCAATTATTTTTAACTTCAAAAATCTCCATTCTGTACCTAAACTTCCACAACTATAAATACATCATTCATGCATCATGATTCTAATCAGAAGATGATTATGAAATCAGAATAGGGAAGCAACAGAACATTCAAGGTGATTGTGGAGACAGCTGAAACTAAATGCCTTAATGCAAAAGGTGCTAAAGGGGACAATGAGTTGTGGCATATAAACTTCAGAAGTTTAGGGCACCTGAGTTCTAAGAAGGTAGTATGAGTACAACTTTACCATTAGATGTTTTGTATGATTTCAAAACTAGGAAAAGTTAGCATTTCTGTATATTAGACGGTATGTCTATGTCTTGTGGCACTCCTTTGAATTTCTGATCAACACATTTATTGTTGATACATTTATGTGTAAACACATACAAATTTCAATTCGACACATTTACTGTTGTTTTAAAGCATGTAGCTACAAACATGTTTGGGTCGACACATTCATTTTTTCAGGTCGACACATATAGCTGAACTTGACGTATGTGTCGACACATACGATTTATAGGTTAACAATGTGATACGGTGGGAGAACTGACTTGGTTATTTTGCGTTTTATCGTAATTGTTGCGGATAGAAAGAGTCAATCACATTCATAATTGAAGATACTTTGAAGTGATATAATGAAAATGTCTACTATGATTCATCATTCCTTAATTTTTCAAAGGAAATCAAAAGATGCAAGGGTTGATTGAAGAAGTTTGACCTAATTAGACAAGTTCTTGATTTCTTGATCACAAGTGCATAAATCTCTCAATTCTCAATATTTGGAAGTGGTTATGGTTTCTATGGTTTCTCATTATCATCCACAACAACTTATATTCACAAGACAAAAGTATTTGTTCAAGAAAGTTTGTCAAAATTGGAAAGGGTTTCCAAGTCATTTTGGTGCTTGAGGAGCTAGGGTTTTGGACTTCTAAGGGCTATATCTTGCTCATCTTTTGATTTTTTGGAGTGATTCCAAAGAAATGCTTCTCTTTAAAGGGTTATCAACAAATCACTTCAAAAGTTTCAATAGGATTGTATGTGGAAGATGCCTAATGATGAAGAAAGATTACAAGTCCTCTAGATAAGCCATCAAATTGTCTTATGTGACTTCAAAAGATCATAACTTGGTCAATTGTTATCTCCTTGAGCCCGTTATTTTTCCACAATGATCTTAAGGATGTGAACTTTAACTCTTCTTTATGTGTAATGCTTGAAAATGGATGGAGGATGCCCTAAGAATGCAAGAGATTACAGGTTATTTCATGGATTTTCACCAACTTCACAAAGTCACAACTTTCTCAATTCTTGGAGTTTTTAAGTGGTTCAAATCTCAAAATGTCATTTAAGAGATTTACTTCATGCCATCTATTTTGGTCAAAAGAAAATTTTGAGTGGGAGGTCATGTTTGGATGCAAAACATTATAGGACATTTTTTGAGAAAAACTTAGATATTTTCTAAGTACAAAAAGTCAGCATTTTTTCTCAACTTTGACTCATCACAACTTTTAGCTTAAGCATCCATTTGATTTCATTCTTTTCACATTGTAAAGATTGCAACCTTATCTTTCAAGTGCTTCAAGAATCACGCCCTAAGACCTCTTGAGCTATGAACACCATGGATTCAAAGTTGATACCTTGAAACTGAAGTTTCCTCCAAA